GTTTCTGTTTTGTTATTTATGGTTTTTTTTTTTTTTTTTAGATTCCATACATGAGCGATCTCCTATGGTATTTTTCTTTGTCTTTCTGGCTTACTTCACTTAGAATGACATTCTCCAGTAACATCCATGTTGCTGCAAATGGCATTACGTTGTCGGTTTTTATGGCTGAATAGTATTCCATTGTATAAATATACCACCTCTTCTTTACCCAGTCATCTGTTGCTGGACATTTAGGCTGTTTCCATGTCTTGGCTATTGTAAATAGTGCTGCTATGAACATTGGGGTGCAGGTGTCATCCTGATATATACCCAGGAGCGGGATTCCTGAGTCATATGGTAAATCTATTCCTAGTCTTTTGAGGAATCTCCATACTGTTTTCCACAGTGGCTGCACCAAACTGCATTCCCACCAGCAGTGTAGAAGGGTTCCCTTTCTCCACAGCCTCTCCAGCATTTGTCATTTGTGGACTTTTGAATGATGGCCATTCTGACTGGTGTGAGGTGATACCTCATTGTAGTTTTGATTTGCATTTCTCTGATAATTAGTGATACTGAGCATTTTTTCATCTATAGAACCACTCTAGATTCAATCATTCAAGGCTCGAAAGGGGAAAACAGGTTACTCTGTAGAAGTAACCTACCTTAACAGAAGCATAGGTTAGCATCTTATCAGATTTTCTTACATTTACAAATGCATGCATATTTATTTTCCAATACATGCCTTTTTTTCCTATAACATAAAACAAAAAAAAATGACTCTCATGCAGTCATGTTTTGCAACTGGCTTGTTTGCCTTGGAGTTCTATCCATATACACACATACTACAATCCATTATGCCTGTGCTGCCATATATTTTACCACTGGACATTTAAGGTGTTTTCTCATGTTGGCAGTTCTCTTCATGGCTGACTTGTTTACTCTTGTTCTTATGATTATTTCCTGGTCAACCAAACAGCTCTGCACTGTGATTGACATGATGCCAATATGCCACTGAAGGCAAGTGGCCCATATGTCTCTCTTCATCCAGAAAGCTAGCCTGGGCTTGCTCTTATTTTAACTGGTCAGGGTTCTAAGAGAATTAGCAGAGGTAAAGGAGTATTTTTTTACAGGTTTAATCACGAAATTGCAAGATATCACATCTGCCATACTGTATTGCTCACAAAGCAAGTCACAAGTCCAGTCCAGATTCAAGAGGCAAAAAAATACATTTCACTTCTTGATGGGAAAAGCTTGAAAGTCATTTTTTAAATGACATGTATGTAGGGGAGAAGAATGGTTATGATCATATTTGCAAGTGATATATTACATAACGCCAGTTGCTGGGTTAACCTCCTGCACTTCATTTCTTAGGGACTGGCTAACTTGAGCATTAGTGGTTCTCCAATGCCTTTAAAGGGATTTTTTTGGACATTTTTTTCCAGTTTTTCCATTGGCTTCAAAATTATTTAACAACAAATGTGTCCAACTTTACTAAAGATGGAAGTTTGGGGGTTATTATTTAACGAATTATTTTCTTTAGCTCTCAAAGGCAATCAGTTGCTCAACTGAATTCCAACTCTTCTCTAACTCTGAATATTTGAACACTTTCAGTTGCAACTACCCAATCCTACTGTCCTAGTTCAGGTCCTCATTATCTAAAATTTATTAGCACTATATTAATTGATTTTTTTTCTCCAACCCATTTAATGCACTGCTTTCAAATCAGACTTTGTAAACTTAAAGTTCTATTTGGATCAACTTATGGTTCAAAATACCAGAGGCCCCTCTGGCTATGTCAAGGTCAAGACCATCTGCCTTCTGTCTTGAAACTATCTTTATTTTCCTTTGGTTTCCTTTGCTCGGATTTTGTCTCTTTCATCTTTTATGTCTTGTGTTTGGTTAATGAGCAACTACGGAGAATTTCTTGAAAATACTTAACTATGTTTTTATCTATTTTCATTTGCATAAATTAAATGAAACTGAAATTAAAATAAGTCTCCCAAGTAATCATACATTCAATTCTTCCTTTTGGGAGCCAAGACTCTCAGAAACCATCATACTCTACAGAGTCTCACCATTTTTTATTTTAAAATACAAAACCTACATATCAAGCTACTTTCTTCTCTATTCTCAACCTGTCTTCAAAGTTTCAAGTTATATTAACTGTATATTATTTATGTATGTCTCACCATAAGATTGAAATCTTTGCATAAATGTTGTCTAGCACTACTACTGTAGCAGTAGTGCAGCATTTTCTACTGATAATGTTGAACTGAGCTCTGAGCGCTGTGCTTCTGAAAATTATCAATGATTAAGAAATTGCCTCCAAACACTTATGTTCTAGGAAATTCCTTACTGCCGAGAACCATCCTCCCCATATGACTAAGATAAGACTCAGAGATGACATCCTTTTTCACCTGTGACAAAGTCAAACATATATTATCAGAATTCACATTTTTTGTCTCATTAATGATTAATAAGCTGGACTGTTTGTCTCTATTGATCAATCTGGAAAAAACATGACTGCTACTTCAAATGAACACATTAACACCAGGCTTCTTTTCTGCTCCAAAGCCCCTTGAAGTTTGTCCCATCTTGGGCTTAAGTAAGCACTGGAACATGGAACACCACACCACCTCTCCCCAACTTAACAATTCCTTCTGAGAATCAGCTGATGATGAAGAAGTATCTCCTGTTCACTTGTTTGATCACATCACTTATTCACCCCACTTCCCCACACCCACTTATTACTATAAAATAAAGCCCCTTCTGCCTTCACTTTTAAGGTACTTGAAGATTTAATGGCTAAAGCATTCTTACTGCAATAGATTTTTTCCAGGTCATGATTTTTATTATAATTATTTTATATATATTTTTTCATTTTCGTATTGTTTTTCATTAAAGGTTATTACAAGATACTGAATATAGTTGAGTGTAGTTCCCTGTGCTATACAGAAGAAAATGTTTTTAAATCTATTTTTATATATAGTGGCTACTATTCACAAATCTCAAATTCATCACTTCCCACTCTCTTTCCCCCAGTAACCATAAGATTACTATGTCTGTGAGTCTGTTTCTGTTTTGTAAATGAGTTAGTGTTCCCTTTTTTCTTTTCTTTTTTTAAATTCCATGTATGAGGGATATCATGTGGTATTTTTTTTCTCTTTCTGGCTTACTTCACTTAGAATGACAATCTCCAGTTCCATCCATGTTGCTGCAAATGGCAATATTTTATTCTTTTTTAATCACTGAGTAGTATTCCATTGTATAAATATACCACCTCTTCTTTATCCAGTCATCTGTTGATGGACATTTAGGTTGCTTCCACGTCTAGTATTTAGTGCTGCTATCAATATTGGGGTGCATGTATCTTTTCAAATTAGAGTTCCCTCTGGATATGCCCAGGAGTGGGATTGCTGGATTATACAGTAAGTTAATTTTTAGTCTTTTGAGGAATCGCCATACTGTTTTCCATAACGACTGCACCAAACTGCATTCCCATCAGCAGTGTAGGAGGGTTCCCTTTTCTCCACACCCTATCCAGCATTCATCATTTGTGGACTTTTGAATTATGGTCATTCTGACATATCTCATTGTAGTTTTGATTTGCATTTCTCTGATAATTAGCAATACTGATCACTTTTTCATTTGCCTATTGGCCAGTTGTATGTCTTCATTGTAGAATTGTTTTTTAGGTCTTTTGCCCATTTTTGGATAGAGTTGCTTTTTGTTGTTGTTGTTATTAAATTGTATGAGCTATTTATACATTCTGGAAGTTAAACCTTTGTCAGTCGCATCATTTGCAAATATTTTCTCCCATTTCGAAGGTTGATATCGATTTCTGAATTAACAATTTTCTTAATTCCAGACTGCTTTTACATGATAGCACACTGTGAAATGCTTAATAAATGTAGGTTGGCTGAATGCATTCTCACTTCTAGCATTCTCTTGAACTCTTTCGTCGGCCTTTAAAGGAGGGCTTTTACTCTCTGTCAACCTAGACAGAAACATTACCATATCTCACTTCCTCCATTAAGTCTTCTTCTAGAGCAATATAATTCCTTCCTTTTCTGAATTTGCATGTTATGTTATCTTCCCACTCTTCATTTTACAGATTATCATTAGAGTTACTATTTTTTTAAATCAATTACTGTGCAATAGCTTTTATAGATTAATTTATACAATAAATTCAATGATGCTTATCATGGAGTTGTCTTTTAATGTTTCAATCTCATTTTAATTGTTTTTTAGTTTTTGTTTTAAATGAAAAAATGCTATGAGTGTTTTAAGTGCCTTCAGATTTAAACCTCATAAAACTCAAAAACACTAGTTATTAGATATCAAGGTTTGCTTTCCCCTCAAAAAAGAACAAAAACAATGACTGCAGAAAAAACAACCTCATTCAACCTGTTTGCAGCATTTCTGCCTGGGTATAAAGAATCATTTTGTTAATTATATTTAAAAAGTAATATCTAATATTTATTATCCACAAGTGTATGTCAGACATGTGGCAGACATTTTACACATATTAATTCTTGTGGGAGCCCATGATTGGGTTAACAAACTGTAACAATCCCAGCCACTTACCTCCTTAAAGAAGATGTGCTTAGTAACTGCCTTGAGGTTTTAGCAATGACCCAGGCTCCCGGCTATAAACGCTGGGCGTGCCTGCTGTTAGTCTTCTATCTCCAAAACAGCTTTGGGCTGGAATGGTAAAAAGCTGCAGACTCAGAGGTGAGAAGGCTGGTTAGCCAATGACGGGTAAGATCCCCTGAGGGGGCAACCTAAGACAGGCACAGCCGCCTGAGCTCAGGAAAATCTTGTCAAGCAGCTGATTCTCATTCCGCTCTGATAAGCTGAAAGGCTCAACGGGATTATGTTTCACCAAAAAGGGTCTTCTGACCTTGAGCCAAACACCAACGATAAACAAAGCCTTTGTACTCACTGTGATCCCACCCTGTCCTTCCCTAAATTCCTGCTTCGACTGTACTCAGTAAGTATGAGAGATTTGAGAGGCTCATGGAGTTGGCTCCTGACTCCCTCTCGCTCTCTTGACTTTTCCCCCGAGTCTTCAGTAATTCATTCCGTCTCGGTGGGACTTCTGCTGGCCAGAACCCACAACTGGTGACGAACCCACAAATTCTCATAATTATCCTAAAGTGTAAATGACATTATGTCCATTTCACAAGCAAGAAAGAAGGGATTCAGATTAATTTCGCCAAGGTCACAAAGATAGAATACTATATAAGTAGTTTTCGGCCCTAGATACTGTTGATGACAAAATATTGCATTATGTGGTCTCTTTATAATAAATGAATCCAGGAAATATTTTCTTGGTTCCTTCTACATGTAGGGAACTTTGAAAAAAATTATAAACATTAGCAATATATTATCCCTAACCCAGTAGCTTGCAATATACAGGCAAAATAGAACACACATGGAAATGAGGATAACATGGCAAAATGTGATGGACTAAGTCATTAGGAGAGAGCAACTTCAGGTTATACAGTCACGGAAAATTTCATGGAAGAAGAGATATTTGTGTTGGGGCTTGAATGATGCATAAGATTATTAAATGCAATAAAGGGAAAAGATATTCTAAGCAAAGGGAACAATATAAATAATGACAATGCAAATGGGGAAGTGCTGAGTGCATATAAATTATAAATCAGTGAGTAATAAAATCTAAACTGCATATAAGGTACTTACTGGGCTATGGGGTAAGACCTGAAGAAGCTGGTAAGATTCAAATTGTCAAACTCTTGAATGCGACGCTCAGGAGTTTTGAATACTTTCTATAGGAAATTTACTGCTCTGTGAATCACCGAGAAAGATAAATTTAGGAATATACATAGTCATATTTCCAACTCAAAAATATATCAAAAATAAGAAGGATTTTTAATTATCCCCCACCCCTGTTTTCAAAGCTATTCCAAAGTGTAGATTCTTATTTATTCATAGGCAAGAATAAGACTGAATAAGATTGAAAAAGAGTGAGTGATGTGTATTTGGCTTGGCTGGGAGATTAAATTGGGGACTACAGGGAATTATATCCTGGGAATCATTTGCACTTCTTTCCCTCAGAAAATTCAAGAGAGCTATAAAATTCCTCTGAATTTTGGCTCAAAGTCCACAGAAAATTCTATGAAGAGGCATCTGTGTTATCTGAAGCTATTATTTTCGTTTTCTTTGTGTGAGACCCAACATTCAATGTGACCACCAGGATATTTACATAGTCTTTTTCTTTCAAGATCTGCCAAAGCAATCTAAGAGAATAACCCAAAGGCCAATGAGGATGTGTGACAGAATCCATTCTGTGCTCCTATGTACAGAAGTCTAGAAAAGTATCTTTTAGGAAAGGAGGGTCTCTCATACAAATAGAGTCAAAGATTGAAGTATTGTAAGTCTTTTGACACGATTAATTTAAACTAAAAATATTCAACTCTTCTACCACCAACCCTACACCTGGGAATCTATTTATCCAGCCCTGAAGAGCATAAATTTAAAGCAGCATTAATCATAGATAAATATCTGGAAATAAATTAGGAGAATGGCTAAGACTTTCTCCTTAATCAAACATTAGTCAGATTCCTCTAAGCCCATTTCGCAGCAAGGTTTCAAGGTTGACACTCATTCCTGTCAGACTTGTATCACCCACCTGTTGGAAGAATCTTGCTAAATCAGATTAGCCAGAACACCCCCCCCACCAATATCTCATTATTTTTGATATCAGATAAAGTTCCTTATCCTCTACCATTGCTCAGGCGATTGCTGACAAGTGTGGCCTGCTTTCACCACGAATCCCGTCCAGTTGAGTTAGCCAGATCCCCCCTTATCCCCAGTGTTCTCTCTCAGTACTTTCCCATCTGCTCCCGAGCTACTTGTCTAGGCTATATTCACGACGGAGCGCTGTCCTATACTGAAACCTCTTTTTCCCCCGACTGCAATAGCCCCTGAATAAAATCTGTTTTTATCTCTTTAACTACTGTCCAGCCTGGGTCTTCTCTGACAACATTATATTATTTCAGGTTTAAACTGCTATCAATTAGAGAAATGCCAGATGACTTGGAAGGACATCCATGAAATAGTTCTGAGCAATAAAAGAATGAAGAGTGGGATTTGTTTACCTAACACTAGCCATAGTGAACAGTGCCCTGTGAATATACAAATGTGTGTTTGTGTCTGTGTGTGCCTACACAGAATTATACATAGCGAGGTCAAAAATGTGAAACGGAGTGGGTTAACAGAGGCAGACGAGGGCTGTAGAGAGAGGGGATTTAGGAGATGAAAGGCGGGCAAACAGGAAAAGGAAAAAATGCCTGTGCTACCTTTGTATAAAATTTTGTGTCCATGCGTCTGTGTATAACAAACTCAAGTTAAAGACTTCAAATAAGAAATCGAAAATCACTAGATTATTTTTTTATAAATAAACACATCCAAGAAGACACATGTTGACTTAGACACCTCCATCCCCACAACTGTCCCTCACAGCTATGCAGGCACTGCATGAATCTTTTGATACCTAGTCTTACAGAATAAAATTCTTACTAGAGCAATACTTTCCAGATTAAAAAGACGGAAAGCACAAAAAAAAAGGTTTAAAAAAAAAGTAGAAAAGTATTACTGTCAGGATGCAGGTTTTAGCATTTTCATTGATATGAAATTTGAAAATCAAAATTTGGGTTCCAGATATAGTCACTAACTAGCTAGTTAGACATCAAAAAAAAAAAAAACTGTAACTTTCTAGGCTTCAATTTTCACATCTATGACATAAATTAAATTTCATAAATTGATAAAATGAATAAAAATAGCATTAACTATGTAGTATAAGGGCAAATAGAAATTAAAAATATGGGCTTAACTTTCCTTGTTGAAAGTAAGGGAAAAGAACCTCTCCCTCTTTCTCAGAGCATTTACTTTAGAAAAGTCTTCCATTCTTTGTCTGACTTTTTGAAATATATGTAAATCTTCATAAAAGGTAAATAAGCCACTTTCCAACTTTAAGACCCAAAAATATCTTTCTCAACTGACCTGGGAAGCATTCCTTTGAAATGCAATCATCAAGAAAAACAGCACCCCTATCTCCCAGTTTCTATGAAAGGGTAGGAGCCAAACTTCAGCAAGCAACTCCCTCCAAGGTACAAAACCACATCCTGTCATAGACATATGTGAAATTTTTATTTCCTTTGGATGAAGCCAATTAGCTAATGCAGATGGATATCCCAAAAACTGAATAAATTTAGGATGAGCTATGTGTGACAAATGGTACTGCTGAGTCCTCTTACCTGAGAACTAATTATTGTTTATATTGAGAACATGTCTGTAATGGGTGGTATCAGCTTGGCTGTATAAAAGAATGAGATTTCTTTCTGCCTCTGAAACATTTTTAGCAGATTGTGTGGTGCACATCATATTCCGGTTTAATGCTTATTCAGTAATAAAATTGTTTTCTTTCTCTCCTTTTTTGGTGGAGTTGTTTTCTGAGTTGGGAGGAGATTTTAATTATATTTTCTCCAAAGTAATCACTTAACTTCTTCAAAACAGGGGAGAGAAAATAGAAGTCCTTTGTGATTAAGGAAATCTGGAAATAGGATAGCTAGGCTATTTTCAGAAAGTAGCAGAAATTTTCAGAAGGACTTTCCTTAGTATTGGGATGGAAGGTGAGACTATTAATCACAGAGAAAAATAGCCCTGCCAATACACGATCAATGTGTTAGGTTTTTATTAACTTCATGTATCTATACAGATATTTCACTAGGAGTAGAGGAAT